ACGGAGCTCGTCGTGGTCGGCCCGACCCACTGGGTTGCCCGCGCCAGGTCCGCTTCAAAAACCATATAAAATCTTGATCTCCACGCCCCCGTGGCTACTGTGCCAAGGGCGCCAGTCAGCCACGACCAACCTGGACCCCCATGGATGCACGTCCTGGGCGCCAGCGACCACGCCGTGCTTGCGGCGGCGCTCCGCAGGGCAGCCGCGCTCCAGGAGGGGGGCCAGTCCCCGCGGATCCAGCCGCGCGCACTTATTCCACGGCATTACCTCGAGCACCACCTCTATGCGGACCTGGTAGACAAGTACTTGGGCGCGGCCAAGGTCTAGCTGATGTCTGCGCCTCGCGCTCGCATCGCCGCCGCGACCGTCCTGCAGGTCGCGAAGATCATCCGCAACGTCGAGATTCGCGGGGTGCCTGACGGGGCCCATGCGAAGGCCGTGGTCGCGCGCACGCTCGCGCGGCTCCTCCATGGCAATGACTTCGAGGCCGTTTCGAGGCTCTGCAAGCTCCACCCATGGATCTCTGAGTACGTTCGCATCGGCCTCGCTGTCAGTCGCGCCACCCTGGTTGACCCACTTCGGTTCGCCGAGCTCCACTCCCGATTGCAGCGCGACGAGGCGCAGCGCAAGGGGGCGGCCCTTGTTGCCGAGGAGGACCAGGAGGCCAGCTTTCGGCGTCGAGCCAAGAAAGCTTGACAGGCGTGCGCTCGGGCGTCGATCTCTGTTCTTCTTGCCGTTCCGGGCGAGGAAAGTTGTCGCCGGGATCCGCGCCGAGAGCCAGACAATCGCAAACCCGGAGGGCATCCGCGCCGACCTGTCTGACTACTGCGGCTGCGTCTTCTCGGCGAAGGCGCCGCCAGGTCCCGGCGCTCGCCGCTACCTCGACCGTGTCAACGGCGGCGCGTTAGTTGGGCAGGTGGATCCGCCAGCGCGCCATGACTTCACCATGTATGCCTACCAGCGCCCATGGCGTCGACGGCCTTCCCTTCGCCGCCTGGATGCACCCCCGCGCCCTGGATGTCCTCTCACCCTGCTCAGAGTGGATCTGCAGCGGCTTCCCGATGTTCGACTCCTTCAACCTCGCGACGGCGATCTGCGCGCCCAAGGGCATCGATGAGCACGACAATGGCGACCTAGTCAGCTGGGCGGCCAGCGGCGTGAGGCCCCTCAGCCCCAAGCGCGCCGGCAATGAGATCATTTGCGCCGTTCTTCACTGGAAGTGGCAGGCGGTGGTCAAGCGCATCGCCCCGCCGCGCCAGCGAGGTTTCGTCAACGGACGCAACTTCCACCAGAACGTCGTCGGCCTCGATACCTGCGGTCGCGTCGCAGGTCTCCGCCCCTCCGCCGAGCACCCGCCCCTCATGCTCTTCGATTTCGCAGCGGCCTTTCCCTCTGCGGGGTGGGCATTGCTATTCATGTGCCTGGGCGCGCTCCAACTCCCTGCTGGCATGGTGAACGCCATCGAGATGCTGTGCCATCGTGCTGCTGCTGTCAGCTCCCACGGTCACTGCATCCGCTTCGCCAACTGGACCCTTGGCGGCGTCATGCATTAACGGTTATCTATTTGCGGCGGCCAGTGCGCCGTTCATGTGGGACACGTGGCGGAACGTCGACCTGCGCAAGAACGGGGCCATTAGATGCTGCGCGGACGACGTCGGAGCGGTCACCTTCGGCGCCTCTGGCCGTCGCGCACTTGGCAGGGTCTTCAGGCTTGCCGAATCCTTCGCCACCCTCGTGCTCAAGCCCCAAAAATGCGCTGCGACGCCGCTCGCTGTTCAGCTTTGTCCCGAAGCTGCCCGCGCTACGCAGGCGGGTCTCGGGGCAGTCTGGCTATCTTGGGTGCAAGTCAAGGTCGTCGACTCGGCAACCTACTTCGGCTTCGTCATCGATCCGGGCGCCACAGTCGCCGAAAACCTGGTGGCGTCGCTCTTGAAGTGGCAGGAACGCGCCAGGGCTATTGCCCGCTCGCCCGCCGACGCCTGCACGAAGGCCGAGCTCTACGCTACCCGGGCGGTCCCGACAGTTTCATGCGTCTCCCACTGCTACCTCTATCGTGGGAGCTACGCGCCACGGAGGTCGGCATCTTCTCGCGGGTCCTCAAGTTGCCCCCGACGACGTGCAACTTCGCAGATTGGCACCGCTGGATCGACTGGGGCGGCCCCGAGCCCCCCTCCATTGTCGTCCAGGGCGCGGCGACCATGACAAGAACGACAACCGCCACGCTCGCGCATTGTAAGCCCCTCGCGCGGCTCCTCGAGGACACGGCCGAACGCTTCCCCCCCCAGGCGGCGCGTGCGCGAGGAGTCCGGGGCAACGGCATCTGGGAAGGGGCCCCCGTGGATCGACCACTTGGCTGAGGCCAGCTGCGGCTTCCCCAATCGCCCCCACTTCTGCAGCCATTCGGATGCCCTCCTCCGCGAGATGGCGGAACCGCGGGAGTCCGACGGCGGCGAGAAGGAAGGGCTTCAGACGTGGCTCGACCGTACTCTCACGCGGTGCTTCATGCCATCGACGATCGCAGCAAAGTTTAGGGAGCGCATCCTCAAGTGGTTTCCAATGGCCGCAGGCGCCGCGAACTCCCACGGCTGGAACGCCCACCAGGAGCGCCTCATGACCATGGCCCCCAGCGTGCGGCTTGCCGCAACGAAGACGTTGCTTGGCGCCTGGCCGACGGGACGGCGCATGCAAGGACGCGGGCCTCACCGACTCTGTCCTTTTGGGTGTGCCAGCGGCGGAGACGACATCTCGCACGTCGTGGGTCAATGCCCGCGGTTCAATCTAGCCCTCGGGGCGGCGACTCGGTGCCCGGCCGTGCCTCCGTTGGAGCACACATTGGGCCTCCTCCCAGCTGTCGAGAGCCTCCTCAGCGTCGCCACGCCATGGCATCTGTTGCGCATATCCAAACACCATCCACAGCGCGGACACCTCACCGACGAGATGCTGCAGGGGGGGTTGCGGCACGTTGCACTGTCCGTCTGGCCAGTGGGCGCGTGACGGGGCGCTGGACACCTACCTCGGCGGCTTCGTCATCCTCTTCCACGAGCTCCCGCTCGACGTTGCCGCGCCCTCGGCTCACGCCGATGGTCTCCTCGTCTGATTCTGGGGGCCTCGAAGTGAGTCCTTCCTCGGCTGGTTCGTTCTCGCGCTGGAGCGCCTCGACCCCGCCCACCTTGCTCGCCTCGGCGCCAGCGGACGCCGATGATTTTCGTGATGTCGCTGAAGCGGCTCCCGATGCAACATCCACACCCACGGCACTCCCTGAGGTGCTGGTCCCGCCCTGAGGCAGGACGGGGCGTTCCGTTGCGGCACGCTCGCGGAGGAGGAGGAGGAGGAGGAGGAGGAGGAGGAGGAGGAAGAAGGAGGAGGAATGAGGAGGGAGGAGGAGTGAGGAGGAAGGGGGAGGAAGAGGAGAAAGGAGGAGTAGCAGGAGGGCAATGTCGACAACCCAAAATACGCACCAACGGCACGCACACGAGGATACGTCCGCAGGGATTGCCTACGTCAGGCAGCCTGAACCAGCATACCGAGGGCGATACAAACGAGGTACGCAAGGCCGCCACGAGCCAGCACCAAACCCTCAACGGAGAAGCGCACAGCGTTGAACTGACAATCCACATGATCCAGTCAACAACCGAATGTCTGACTTGGTCGCTCATGGGGTTTTGGGCATGAGGAGAGCGCACCACCGACCTGCTCACATGCCCAGACCAAACCGATCAAGCGACCACGAGGAGGAGGAGGAGGAGGAGGAGGAAGTATATCCACCACGGCATTCATGCACACGAGACGACCACCGCGACCTGGAGCAGTACGCCTGTATCAAAACCATCGTGGAATCGGTCATGGCGTCTCCACATGCACAGCCAGTGCATCTCACTGCGGACGTCAACCAGGGCCTTCATGATTGCGACATCTTCTTGTCTGTGATCTCACACGAACGGACACGCGGCTCGGGTACACGCGCCGACGGGCACACCACTGACCACGGTGCACACAGCGTCTCCAGCAGCACCAAAGCACAGCCGAGCACGACGCCGGCCTTGCGTCGACATGCCGCGTGCTCGCCAAGAGCATCGTTGTCCGCCACGACCCCGACATGTTGCTCGATCAGCTCCGGGCTTGGTCCTGTGGTGTGGACCTCACTCCGAGAGGCGCACCAACACTTCACCATCCCTACTCCCTATCCTACCGCCCGCGCCGCGTCACCAACCTCGACGTGCCTCCCACGTCGAGGTTATGCTGCAGATCCCTTGCGGAACGCAGCACGTTCCCATCTCTTCCGATCCCACGGCGGCACCTTACAAGTCTGGCTAGCTCATGCTGCCTACACTCTCGGCTTTACGCTTCTCCAGACTTGCGCACTTCTTGCCAGGGCAGCAGCAGCACCACCAGACACCTCGGCGACAGCCACCGCAGCACTTCCACTCAGACTCGACCCTTGCCCCTCAGACAACACGGACCAGGCTGCGCGCCCACCTCCACAACGTGAGCATGGCCCGCTCCCGATTTACACATTTCCGCTCTTTAGACTGCTTTAGACTCGCCGTCCACCCTGAGGCACCTTCCAGGCTTCTCCTACACGCTACCCTCTATCACAAGCTGCCTCTACCGCACTTTTCCCGACCACAGACTTGCGCCATAGCATTTACCCCCACCATCCCGTCCAGCCTCTGCATTCTTAGCCACTTTTGGCAATGATTTCTGCGGATTCACGGGGCTCCAGATCCCGCCGAAATTTCCTCACCCAAGTTTTGGCACACATGGGTCTGCGGTTACACGGCTCCAAAGCCCGCCGCGGGGGAACCATGACACTCAGTAACAGGCCCACGGTTACACAGGGCTTCAACCCCGCTGTGTGTGTGTGTGCAAGGGGCACTACCGACGCGCCACATCCGATGTACTTTTCTGAGCGTTTGACATACTCTTCTTTTTCTTTTTCGCTGATGCTGGCGCTTTCTTGTCGCTTATGTGGAGGCGGGCGGCCAACTGAAAGGAGGGGGGCCAACTGAAAGGCCATCGCGACACAGGCTGCCGAGCCTGTAGCGAGGTGATCGACGTCTTCTGCGACAGCGTGTTGGTTTGCGCCTGCCGCGGCGACAGGACCAAACGCCACATCGCCCTACGGAACCAGTGATTTTTCGATGTCCTGGCCGCTGGCCACGCTGCGGCGGAGTTGGATCGCCCAGGGTTGCTGCCCCCGCGCCCCGACGGGGTGGCCACCCACAGGCAGGGCGAGCAGGGCGGTTTTCACGTGGGCGTCAACAGCCGCCGCCCCGCTGACTTCTATTTCTCTTGTGGCCTAACGGCACGGCGGCAACCTGGGCTTTTGCCGCCACCTCTGGGATGCGCGCCGACCTCGTCGGCACGTCTGCCGCTTCGTGAAGTGCGCCGGCGGAGCGGTGCGAGGAGTTCAACAGGCAGCACCAGGACGCCGCGCGGCGGTGCGCAGAGCAGGGCTCCATCTTCCTCCCCGTAGTGGTGAAGCCCGCGGCGGCGGGCGGGGCCGCGAGGCACGTAGGTCGGGTTTTCGGGGTCCTGGCCAAGCTGGCGGCCGATGCCACGGGGGACTACGCCGCCCTGGTGGCGAACCAACCCGAACCCGCAGGGACAGCGCGGGCGGTGTTGCGGCGCTTGCAGACGCAGTCTGGAGGGACGGGGGTGGCCACGGCCCGCTTGGCCGAGGCCACGATGGACTCCGCGGCGGACGATGCTGGGCAGCATGTTTATCCCGGGGGGAGCGGACGCCAGACTCCGGCGAGGCGGGGGGCACTACCCGAAAGGGCTCTTGAGGCCCAACCAGAACGCGGCAGGCCCTCTCCCGCGGGCGAGTGTCGGGCGGGCTCCGGCGGGGCGAGAAGCATTGCTCGAAACGGTCCTTGCCGGCAAAGCCGTAACGCGGCAGCTCGCCCTGGTCCACTTTGGACGACCGGCTCCCCCCCGAGACCCCGACGACCCTGACGACGCCTGCCACCCCAACGACCCGACGACGACCCCCGCGCGTCGAACCCCTTCCCTGTCTCCCCGACGAGCTTGGCTGCCGCCCATTCCTGCAGTCCCTCCGCCTCCGTTGCCTGGCCGTCGCCGCCGCTGGTCCGTAGCCTCGTCGCGGGTGGCCCTTCTCTCCCGGCCCCTGTTCCGGCCCGTCTGCACGCAGTTGTTCTTTTGTTTGTTCTTCCCTTGCTCCCTGCTTGCTGTCTCCCCTCTGTTCCTTCCCGCCTGCCCGCCCGCCTGTGTTGTCCCGCCGGCCCTGGCCTCCCGCTTGCGCGTTCGCCGTCGGTCGTTTTGCTTCTCGCTCCCTTGCTCCCTCTCCCGTCGCCGCGCGTCACCGACTGCCGGCAGCAGGCGGCGCTGGCGCGCGAATTCTGTATATCGACGGCCTGCCCGGGGCGGCCGTGGACCAAACATGCGCCACGTAGACCCCAGCCGCCACGCTAGGGTGGCCCCCGCCTCCCCCCCGGGCCCCGCCACCAAGACGCCTGACCTTTCGCGTCTTCCTCTCGCCCCCCGCCTCCTTTGTACCTGCTCGCTGCCGCGCCAGCTGGCGCGCCGCCGCACCGGTTCCACGCTGTTCGCCCTGCCGCGCGCCCCGCCACACCGAACCCGTTGCCTTGATGAAACAGCCGGTCGCAGCTCAAAGCGCGAAGGAAGAGGGAGGAGGAGAAAGAGGAGGAGAAAGAGGAGGAGGAGGAGGAGGAGGAGGAGAAAGAGGAGGAGGAGGAGGAGGAGGAGGAGGAGGAGGGGAAGAAAGAGGAGGAGGAGGAGGAGGAGGACCAAGAGGTTGGAGGAGGAGGAGAAGGAGGAGGAGGATGGATGGATGGATGGATGGATGGGTGGGTGGGTGGGTGGGGGAGTGGGTGGGTGTAGGGTGGGTGGTTGGATGGATGGATGGATGGATGGATGGATGGATGGATGGATTAATGGAACAAAGGAAGGAAGGAAGGAAGGAAGGAAGGAAGGAAGGAGGGAATGAGGAGGATGAGGAGGAGGAGATGAGGGGGAGGAGGAGGAGGATTGTCAGGGGGTGCGAAAGGCGGGAGTGGACCCAGATGGAACGTCGATGCGCCGATCGCCCGTACATGCCCGATTGGGCTTGGGACCCCCATTTGTCCAGGAAGTTGTGCTTTCGTTGTCGGGGATGTGTCGCCGATTGATCGGTGGTGTATCACCGATTCTAGGTCGATGCCCCCGCCCTCCCCGAGCCAGGACCTTCGTTTCGCCTCCCCCACAAGGGGTCATGGATCAGGAGGAGGGTCGGGGAGACTTTCAGATTTGGTGAACGTGCAACTCCACGGCGGACGTAACACTTCACGGCTTCGGGGCCCGCGCACGCCGACCCGGTTCGAGACAAGGACCAGCAACATTGCCGACCACCTTTGGAACGCAAGCCATCGAGCCCAGCCGATAATGCTTGAGGCGTTGGTGGTCCTCCGTGCACCGCGCTCTGCAAGCAGTCGCCGCCCACAATAGGGATGAAACGTTGTGTCCCGCGGTGCTTTTGCACGCTTGCAGTTTCTGCCCGTCCTGAGCACTGTTTTTCGTGGCCCCCTCGTTCGCCCCCCTGGGCGCCCAAGACTCAAGGGTCTCGTACTTTCGACAGCACCCTTATGATTTTGCTGAGCAAGCACGCCGTAGCGAACGCACACGTTTTTTCGTCGGCGGCGAGCGGCGAACTCCGCTCCAGCGAGAAGCTGGAAAGGGACACAACTAGCGAATTGGCCGGCGGGCAAAGAGAGGGGGGGACGGCCGAGAGGAAGAAGGGACGCTCAGACGTCGAAGAGTTCGACGATGAGCAGCCGGGGGGGGGCAGCAGCCGTAGCGACCACACACGTATTCCGCAGTATCGAGGTAATTCGAGCCGGGAGTTCTGGCCGTCATCGTTTGCCCACGTTGTGGTTTCTGTTTACGGCGTCGGATCTCCGGGTATGGAGGAGGGGTGATTCATGATCTTGATTCGGGGGACCCCAAACGGGGTGGTGACCACACCGTGTGGTGAGTCGGTGGGGATTTGGGGTCACCGCACGGTTTTGGGACCTTGGTCGTTCTCCGAGGACGTCTCGGGCGACTGGGGCATCCGATGTCCCAAAACCGTGCGTTGACGGACCGTGCGGGCGAGGTCTTGGAGGATTTCGAGGTCGCCGCACGGTCTGTCACCGCAGGACTCCGACTTGGTCTTCGCCTCCCCGTCCATCCCCCCTTCCTCCGTTTCTGGGCACTCGGGGGGCCCCACTTTGCCACGCTTGGACGCGGCTCTAAAACAGTCGGGAGAGTGTTTCGCATGAGGGTCTGGGGGGAGGCTTGGAGCGGATCCTCGCCAGGGGGAGGCTCGATGAGGTTTTCGAAGGTTCTCCCAGATGTGCTGACAGGTTGTGCGAATTCAGAGTTTGGGCTCTTCTGGCAGCTTCTCCAGGGAGGAGAAGGGAGGAGGAGGAGGTGGAGGAGGAGGAGGAGGAGGAGGAGAACGACGAGGATGAGAAGGAGGAGGCGGGAGGAGAGAGCAGAGAGCAGAAAGGAGGACGGACGACGGATCGAAGGAGGGACCGACGGATGAGAAAGGGCTTCCTTCTGGTTGGATGCTCTGCCAAACACCGTTCACAGCATTGGTAGCACTGGGGCGGTTCGTTGTAGTCTGATGTATGGCGCTGTCGCGCTGAACGCCAGGATCCACCCGGCGTGCCGGGCCAATTTTCGGAGCCACTGGAGACCCCAAGCAAAACGGATTCACGTCTTCTTCAGCCTAAATCATCAAAACAAGACGAATCCGATTCGCCCAACATTTTTCAAGCACAAACCAGGTTGAACCAGGACGAATTCGAAGTCTTTCGACGGCTGACGTTGGCCCAGATCCAGAACATGTCATACATTATTCAATTTGGCTCAATCCCTTGTTGACAGATCGAAGCATTCAGTAGCTCGTAGGTTTCGTTGGCTCAGCTGGTCCGCTGAACAGATGTCTGTGAAGGTGTTCATGCATCCCCTGTCGCAGCCTGCCCGTGCCGTCTTGTGGGCGTGCGCGTATGAATCTACCCCAGTTGAAGAGGTTGTCGTGAATCCAGGCAAGGACACGAGAACTGTGGAGTACGCAGAGCAGGGCCCGATATTGGCAGTTCCCCGATTGGTAGAAGATGGCTTTGTACTGAACGAGAGCCATGCTATAATGAGTTACTTGGGAGATAAGTTCGAGTGGAAGCTGTACCCAGCGGAGGCGAAATTACGGGCCAGAATTCATCAATATTTGCATTGGCATCATCAGAACACTCGACGTATAGCTGTAGGCCTGTTCGCTCCAGTCGTCCGTCCAGATCTCCAAATATCGAAAGAGCAGATTGGGCAAGAGAAGGCGGGGATCAATGCCACGCTGAAAATTATCGAGCGCTGGCTGGCCACGTCCAGGTGGCTCTGCGGCGACTGCCCGACCATTGCAGACCTCTCCTGCTATTGCGAGATCGGGCCGTGCCAGGACAAGTTCATAGGCCTCTTCACCCTCAACGGGATCAACCTTGATTCTTACCCGCACATTGTCAGGTGGTTGGAGGCATGCGAGAAGCTTCCAGGGTACGACACAAGCCACGAGATGCTTCGGAAGACGTCGCCAAAGATCCGCAAGGCGGCCGAGAAGTTCGCTTCCAAGCTCTGAGAGGTGTGTCCCGCGGCTCACCTGAGGCGAACAGGATGATGATACTGTTAAGCAAGCTTCCATCAGTCAAAGCCAAAGGTAAACTTTGCGCGAGCATAGACACGTGGGGATAGTCGCGCACGCAATGGTTCTGCGCGATCTTCGAATCTGATACATTGAGTTTCTCTTCGACGGTGGTTCTCACTATCTCTCTCTAGCTCTCTCTCTCTGCCTTTTGATCTCTCTTTCTCTCTCCCAGGTCACCCGCAGTTGCGCTACGATAATCGCGGTTCGCGGTCTGGTCCAGATAGTTTTTCTCCCCCAGGGGGATCGTGCGAGAACGCGAGCAGAATCGCCACTGGCGTAACGCGCGACTCGAGGCTCGAGGTTTGGGGACCTTGGTCTGTTTCTCTCTTTCTCTCTCTCCTACTCTCTCTCTCTCTCTTTTTCTTTCTCTGTCTCTTTCTCGCGGCGCTGTGGCCTGGGCCGCGTCCCGCCAGGTGGCCCTGCAGGTCTCCCTGCCCGAGATCGACGGCGCGATTGAGCCCATGATCTTTGCGGGCCGCGACGGCACCAGCGGGCGGTCGATACCGATGCAGGCACCCGCACCCCCTCCTGGCCCGCTGAGATGTCGTCGTCGTCTTCGGGTCTTGAATGTCGTCGTCGTCCTCATCTTTCTTGGCTGTCCAGTGCTGTGCTTGTCTGGGGTTGGGGGGCCTGGAGCGGGAGTTACGAGCCATTAGTTTCCGTTTCGGCCCTTGTCGTCGCAGCCGGTGCGTGCAACGGAAATTAATGTCACTCCCAGAAGTTTGCCTACCCCCATTTCATGTTACGCCCGGATGCTCACCTACCTCAGAAGTCTACGCCCATGCAGGCGACGTAAAAAGAAAGTCATCGACCGCGCATGTGTTCGCGAGAATCTTCTCGCGTAGGGTCGCACGTGAGTGCGCCAATTTTGTCCACGTGGTGTGTTGCGCTGAGCCACTGCGTAAGGTCGCCACGTCCTCTCGCGTAATATCCCCTCTGCGTCCATCTGGCGGCCAGCGTGGTGTGGATTGCTGGTTGCCGCTGCGTCGAGTGATGGTGACTCGACCGTTTTTTTTTTTTTTTTTTTTTGTGAAAGCGTCGCCTTGGGCCCCTGGGCTGGCTTGCCGTCCTTTCCCCGGTCCTCCCTCCCCCTTCGCCTCCCCCTTCGCCTTTCGCCTACCCGTGTCTCCTCGGACATTGACTGTGCCGATCGAATCAATTCGGTCGGCCATCTTGCCCGCTGAGGGTTCCTGCACGACTCGGTTCGATACCAGAGCGTCTTTTCATTTGTCAGTGTGTGGGGATGAGGAGGAGGACGAGGACGAGGACGAGGAGGATGACGAGGAGCAGGCAGGAGGACAAGGAGGGAGGAGGTGGGAGGCGGAGGAGGCACGCTGATGATGAGGAGGAAAGATGCGAAGGACAGAAGTCAGGAGGATAAGGTTGAGGAGGAGGACCTGCAGACCTTCAGACCACATGAGCTTCTCATACTCAATGCGCTCACAAAGCACAAGCGCTGTGCTTTACCTTGAAGCGCATACATAAAAGCAGCCAGGGGGACACCCAATCGACCCCCTGGAGAGGATCGGTCTTGCCGGTCTGGCAGCAAGAGATGGCCACTTGGTGGACCAATCCTGTGTAAGTCCTATCTGAAGCGTGCCTGTTCTCGCCGCTGTCGGATCGCCTGGATCACCTCAGCCGTGAGTTATTTTCGGATGGGGGGGGAGGACGAGGAAGGGGGAGCAAGCCCTACGGACCTCCCAAGGCCTCCAGAGCCTGTAGTGGTACTGCATATTGAGGTCCTGCGGGTACCTTCATCTTGGGAGCAGTGCGCTATTGTCTTGTCCTGGTGTCAATGCCGAGCAGGGATGCGTGGGTCTCATGGGGGTCGTCACATCGTCCTCCACTCCCTCGATCTCGGATCTCCTTCAAACCTCCTGTTGCGGTGGCCTTACTATTCTGCCCTCAAAAGCACTGGTCAATGGCCATGGTGTGGGAGGGAGTGGGGGCATCAGAGAGCGCTGCAGCCGTGGCCGACTGGCATGAGCTCGGGGTTCAGGAGGACGTGTGGCAAGTGGATCATGATCAGGTGGGATATTGTAAAGACCGAAGGTGTTGAAGTTGAGGTTGAGGAGTTTGAGGAGTCGTGACAGGAGGAGCAGCATGAGCATGACCAGGAAGCGGATGAGGAGTAGTAGGACGATGAGGATGATGAGAAGGATGATGAAGAGCAGTAGGACGGACGATGGGAGGTCGAGGAGGGATGAGGAGGAGGAGGAGGAGATGGACGAGAGTTATGATGACGAGGGTGGGCAGCCAGGACCGCATCGGCAACCTTGCGACGCGTGCGCTGAACTGGGCTAGGCTGCGCAAGATGGAGAACAAGGACAAGAAGGCTCGGTAGGGGCCTTCCGCAGAAAGAGGAGGGTCGAGAGGAGGGATGATGACGGTGATCATGCTGATGATGAAAACGATGCTGATGATGACGATGATGATGGTGATGCACATGGTCATGATGTTGATGACGATGCTGATGGTGATGATAACGATGCTGATGATTATGATATGATTATGAGATGATGATGATGATGATGATGATGATGATGATGATGATGATGATGATGATGATGATGATGATGTTGCTGAGGCTGAGGCTGATGAGGATTCTACAGCTGGTGATGATGCTGACACGACTGCTGCTGATGATGGCGGTGATGCTGATGCTGCTGATTATGTTTATGATGCTGCTGCTGATGCTGCTGCTGCTGCTGATGCTGATGCTGATGATTATGCTGGTAATGGTATCGGTGATGGTGCTGCTGCCGATGCTGATGACGCTGGTGAGATTGAGGATGCGATTGATGCTGATAATGATGATGCTGATGCTGGTGATGCTGCTGATGATGATGACTATGATGCTGATGCTGATGTTGACGATGCTGACGATCATGATGATGACGCTGATGATGATTATGATGATGGTGATGGTGCTGATGATGATTATGATGCTGTGATGATGGTGGTGATGTTGATGCTGATGGTGATGCTTGCGATGCTGATACTGGTGACGATGACGATGGTGATGATGCTGATGCTTATGATGATGCTGATAATGATGCTGATGCTGATGATGGTACTGATGGTACTGATGATGCTGCTGCTGATGATGATGATCATCATGATGATGCTGGTGTTGATGATGCTGATTATGCTGATGATGATTATGCTGATGATGATGACGATGATGATGATGATGATGCTGATGATGATGAGGCTAGCGTCGCCGACGACGACGAATACGGGTACGACGATATCCGATGATGTTGTTGCTGCTGATGACGTTGCTGATGTTGATTTTGAATAGGATTGTGTGTATGTTGATGATGTTGATGTTGATGCTGTCGATGATGGTGATGACGATGACGATGCCGACGGCGACGCCGACGATTACAATGATGATGCTTACGACGGTGATGATGATGGTGCTGATGATGCTCATGCTGCTGATGATGATGCTGATGATGATGCTGATTATGATGATGATGACGATGATGATGTTGTTGATGATGACGATGACGAGGATGACGATTACAGGGACGTTGGCGATGTTGTCGATGATTGTGATGACGATGAAGATGACGGTGTTGGTGATGCTCCTATTGTTTCGGGTTGCTGTGTTGATGATGATGATGATGATGATGATGATGATGATGATGATGATGATGATGATGATGATGGTGATGATCAGGATGGTTTCGAATGTCACCCTAAGCATTCAGATGTCTTGGGAGGCTTCGGGATTGTCAGAGGGAGTGAGGATACTGTTCTCTTACTGGGAAGGAGTCGGATAAGGAGGCTGGTGATGATTAGGAGGAGGGAGCAGGGAATCAGGGAGGAGGACCGTGGGAGGAGAATGAGAGAGGATGACAGAGGAGCAAGGGGAGCAGGAGGAGGAGGAGGAGGAGGAAGAGGAGGAGACGTAGGATGTCGAGGCACAGGGGGCGCAGCTGAGTGTTCGTGCAAAGCGAACATGAGGCAACGAAAGTTGGGATTAAGCAGGAAGAGGAGGAGGAGGAGGAGATATGGAGGGAAGATGGCTGAGGAGAATGAGGAGTGTGTGACAAGAACTTGTATGGACGAGGTGGAGAAGGGATGGTGGTGCTGGGCATGCTCATGCTGCTGATGATGTTGATGTTGATGCTGATGCTGACGGTGATGTTGCATTCACATTTCTATAACATACGCGTTGTAATAATGATTGTCGATCCCCCTCCAGTGCCCATTGTGTTTTTTTCAACTGAGGTGACTCTCCTGGGAATCGCACCCTGTCGTGCACAAGGTAACATCTTCAGGCCTCAGACTGCGCCCCTGGCCCCCGAACTACGACGACAACGGCTCCCGCTTGATACGCCCGCACAAGTTATTCACAGTTGCGCTCTCGCCCCGGACGTCCTCACAATCGATGCAGGGTGGGATTTCCTCGCAGTTGTTTGAGACGCCGCGTCTTCGACACTCAGGAATCATTCTCCCGCCCCGGACTTCCTCACGATACAACTTGGGAGTCGCGCTGTTGCTCGAGACTTCTCGCGACTCCTCCAGGGCTGACGCTTCAAGAAACCCGCCCGCTCGACCTGGCCGAGAGAGAGAGAGAGAGAGAAGTAGAGTTAAGTCGGGCCTGTCCCTCTACAGGGGAATATTCAAAATTAGTCAAAATATGCTCTGGGGGCGATTTTTTAAAACTTCTTTTGAGCATGTTTGGAGTATGTTTTGAATATTTTTAATTTTCCGCACAAGAATCCCCCTGTAGGGGGACAGGCCCGACCCAAAGGTAGAGAGAGAGAGAGAGAGACGAGTGGGGCGCAGGCGTCGTCACTTGCAGCAGCGGCGCTGGGCTCGACAAACTTGTTTCCTTCCTCGCTGGGGCTGCTTGGCGGCCACAGCCTCCAACGACGATCTCAGGAGTCGTTTCCGCGAACCAGTGCCGCTCCGTTCCGCACCCACATCTCTGAACCTCTGACGTGCCTGTAGCCCAGCTCCCTCAGCCGCAGGCCCAGCAAGTTATCCACAGCATCATCCCCCGCGATCCACCAGCCTGGCCGTCCCCCGTTCATGATGTCGGTCTGCTCGACGTGAGGCGGAAGTTGCAGTACGATGTTATGATGATGCGGACGATCGTGAACATCCAATTCTCTGCCGATGGCTCTCCATAATTTGCCTGAGCGCCATACGGCTTGCGAAGCAGCTGTTCATGCCACCCCCGAACGATTTCAGCGTTGTCGGAATTGAGATAGGCCAGCCCAACAGAAAGTTGAATGGCCAAAAGCAAACACAGGATCTCGCCTCGAACCACCGTCTGCTTCACGCCCGTCTGAAGCCTCATCACCACGTTTCCAAAAAGGAATGGGTCCCGAGACACCATGACCCCGATAGCTAACCTAACTCGCTTCACGCGGACATCTTGACCATCGAAGCGTCGCCCAAAACGCACAACGACTATGAGGGATCTTTCGCCGAGGGATCCTTTCTCCAAACTGTTCTGCACAACCTTGGAGTGTAATCAAGTCTCTTCCATCGGAGTATCGCTGACCCGGGGCGACCCTGTTGGTAGCAAACCTTGGAACCAACAGCATTTATCTAATTCACATTGGGAAATGACTGCTGGAACCATCTCGGCAGTCTGATCGTACATTCGGCGCCCCTGGTTACAGTCGCACGTCCAGTCTCAATGGAGGGGAGCCCCTGAATTTCATGACACCTTGGCCTTGGGCACACGTTCGAGGAAGAACTGTCGAGCGTATGTTTCTTGTCCTGGAGCCAGCTGTTTCGACAGCCATGCACAACAACATAGACTCTAGTTGTCGGCCTCAGTGTGCTTGTTCGAGTTGCTCGAGCAGCCGCCGAAGAGAGGCATTGTCGACCCAGTTCTCGGCCCCCGACCCGCAGACACGATTGCATGCCTCCTGCCATTGACCGCTGCTGATGTCCCGACCGAACTCACATAAACGACCGTGAGCTTCCGGTACATCCGCTTGACTGCTTGCCTCTAGCTTCAATTCAAACCACGGCTCTCCTGAAGGCGAGGCTGGTAACTGCCACTCCGACAGAGCCACATGCATCCACTCTGCTCGTAGCAAATGACATATTGTGGCTGCCATGGGTCCGTTGATGTGCCTCGAATGTTGATTCAATTCAAGGCCAGGGTCACTTTGAACAACCTTGTCCCGAGTTCGCGTAACCCCTGCCCGAATGCGTGGAGCGCGAATCTGACAATTGAGCCACTGCTTCAGCACACCTGCTGGCAAAGCAATGTCTGGGTCTCGCCCAGGTGAGGACACCGTCCCCTTTGCCTGGCGCCTGCCATTTCTGCAAGCCATCTGCGTAAAATGAGCCTGACCAGGACCCGAAGCGTCTGCAGTTGTGGGTGCCGCCTTCGGTGGAACTCCCTGTAGGGCCACGAAACGTGTGATAGGTGTGCCGAAGTTGGGGCGGGTACGCCATGTGAGCTCAGTCACTGGGCCCTTCGGTGGAGCTCCCCATAGGGGCCACGAAGCGTGTGAGGGGTGTGCCTGACCGGGTGCGGGGCCGCCATGCGAACTCAGCCACTGGGGCCTTCGGTGGAGCTCCCTATGGGAGTGTCTTGAAATGGGGGGGGGCGGCCGCATGCGGATCCTGCCATCAGGGTCTGCGGTGGTGCTCCCCATGGGGCGGCGACTCGTGTGAGCGGTGTGCCGTATTTGGGTGCAGGGCCGCCATGCGAACACAGTCATTGGGGCCTTCGGTGGAGCTCTTTATCGGGAACAATTGAGGGGTGTGCCGAGTCGGGTGCGTGGCTGCCATGCGAATGCAGCCACTGGTGCCTTCGGTGGTGAACAGTGGGAAACCGACCCCAGCCCCCACGACTATGGATTTTACACGTCAGCGTTTTGCATTTACGGCGAAGGTGCGTAAGTGTAGGCGCCCTGTCGGCGAGACCATTGCCAGCTGCCGCAGGGGGGCCCCCGGGCGCGGCGACGTCCTGGGCCCGCTCGACGCGGCCGCGCCCGCGCCGGCGTTCCCGGGGCGGCGCGTGCCACGGCCGCGGCTCGCAGTTTGAGGCGACGGCGGCGCTGTCCCCCGCACGGCAGCGTCGCTGGCCCAGCCGAGGGCCCCCGCGCCAGCCTCCGTCGCCCCCTCCTGATCCCGCCGGCGGAAAAGTCTAGATCGGGAGCGTTTCTCTCAAGGCAAATGGGCCAATATACAATATTTTGTGGCGTTTATGTAAAATTGTTCGGGGCTCTCCCGCGCGAGAGACATTCTGCTTCGGAGAAGTTTAGATGCTTGTATATGGAGTCTATATAATCTGTTTTCGCCTGGTGCCTAAACTTTGTTTCCGAGGTGGATCTAAGTTTTTCGACG